CTGGCTGTAAAGCTGGCAGTGGAACAACTGGCTAGTGATTGAGATGGAATTCAGAGTCTCATGGACCATAGTTTTCTTCTGAAGGTTGGAAACAGTTTTCAAAGCTGCCATGCATGCTGTGGGAAACACACTTTTTTCAGGCCTAATTAAGTTCAGGAAAATTTAAACTATTAAAGAAAATTGCACAGGCTTAAACTGAGTATTAGAGGATAAAATACATAGTGTTAACTTTAACAAGCCTGAATTTGTCCTTACAGCATAGCAGATAAAAAGATCAATTTCCGGACAATGACCTGTGGTGGTTCTGCACTTCGACGCCTCTCTTCACCATCATCAGTCACAAAACCCACATTTGTGTTGACCACAGAGTGGATCTGGTATTGGAAGAATGACCTTGGCCAGTGGATTGAATATGGAGAACAGGTGAGTCCACAACCTGAATAACTTCTGAAGAAATGTGGGGAGCCTCTTCCCCCCACTTCTCTTTACTCAGCAAGATTCATTTAATTCACTAAATACTTGGGCTTGAATTTTCCAGTGTCAAGTAAGGCAGTGAAGCTGTAGATGTTTAGAACAGATGTGATAAAATGGTGACAGGCTGGAGGGGAGTGAACACACCTTATTTCTGTGCAGTGAGGTTCAGCACAAATGAACACCTGTCTGTGTGTCTGGATGGTTTGTTGTAACTAATTTCCTGACAAAGACCTAATTGGCCAGTGCAGGAAAGCAAAATTCCTTTTCCTTCGGCTTGAATAGATCAGACTGGTTTTGATGATACATGCTGCTTCCCTAGTCAGATTCCCTTTTGGAGTTGTCCATGGCTTCTACATAGATTTAATGTGTATGCTGTCCATGAGATATTTTGCCTTTTAAATGATCCAGGAAGTAATCTTGCCTCTCTTCTAAGCACTGTGCTGCTTCCTTGGGCATGCCAGGGTTGCTCTGCTGTCTCAGATCAGGTGTTACCTTTTGCCTTGTGTGGCCAAATTCTCTTTGATGGGACCATGATCTATCTGAAAAATGCAGGGAACAAATAAAGAATCTCTCCTTCTCCCATGGCACATGAGTTTTCCTCATCTGGTTTACAGTATAGCTGCACAAATGGCAGAACACAAAGGTGATGCAGGGATGTGGAAAAGTACACAGGTAAAGATGATAGCTGTAGTGGCTCTGGCAGTGGTGGGCCTTGATACCAGTAGGCATCTTAAATGGAAAGCATCTCCATCAGCATATCCTCATATTTGACATTGTTTTGTCCATCAGAATCATTCTCATATCGTGGTTTAACCCCAGTGTTGCAGGGCAGACACAGAATCTGCTGACTGTGCCAGTTTGTCAAAGGGGAGATTTTAGATCCTTTAAAGAACCACCACCAAAGGCAGCAGCAAAAGTAGTTTTCTTGAAGGAGGATGTTGCAAAAGTGAGACTTAGCAGAGTCCAATGGCAAGGTTCACTCTCTTACTGCACAAAGGACATAATAGTAATTCAGAGTTACTGATACAGAATCTCAGTGTGCTCTAATACAAGGTTATGTGCAGTATAGTCACTTACCAATGACCTAATAGTTGATTAGGGGGTCTCAGCCTCAAGGAATAACCTTGAGAGGTGTCCCAGCTCACTGCTGTGCAGCCTGCTCCTTAGCAGGGAGAGCCCATAAAAAGCTCACTCAGGCTGTCAGATTCATGGAGTAAAGTGCTTGGCTTGTAATCAAATTCCATGCGATGGAAGGTGTAAGCAGGAGACTCCTTGTGCCTGTGACTTCCTTTGTTCCTTGACAAAAAACTCTTGGAAGAACCTCTGGCCATTCATGTGTGAATTGCATGACTGGTGTTCCAGTTTCCAAACAGGTATGCATCAGTGCTCACCATGTCACCCTACTCCTCTCAGGCTTTTCAGAGAACAGGTTGCTACTAGAGAAGTCCATGGCTGCTCATGGCCTAGGCCTTTCCTTCCTCTGGAGCCTGAACCAAACTACCACCTCGTTTGATCCAGGAGCCAAGTGCCTCTAGCTTATGAGTGTTTGGTCACACTTCAGGCCACGATAGTTCTGGGTAGATTCTTCACTTCTACTCCTTGCCTCTTCTTTCCCTCTACCCAAAGTAGTTATCCAGGGTTTAGTCTGGACTGTGTTTATTCATGACTCTTTTCTTCCCCCCCCCCCCCA